ACCACTGAAGCTCACTTGTAACTAGAAAGACAAAATTCATTAACTGAGCTGTAATACATGCTCCTTAGCCAATATGATGCTTGCTTCTGTACCACTTTGGTCCTACGATGACACAAGGTCCATCCCTTGCTTTATGACTTATCTCGCAATCACATCAACTAGATAAGTTACATTTTTTGGCAGACTCTGAAACTCCCTAGGCTTCAATTTCCCTGTCTATAAAATTAGTAGGTTGACTAGATGGATTCTGAGCTCAGAATAGCCCTATGAATGAACTTTGTTTTTCTCCTAGCCCATATAATGTTGTCAAAGAAGTGATAAATGAGAGATACCTCTGAGCCTGGAGGATACGAGTAGGAGAACGAAGCAGATACTTTAGATGTGAACACGGCACGGTGCTGCATAATGGGAAATCTGTTTTCATTTCTTTCATTTCACATGCCAAGGGGAAAGTTACTTTACCCCCAGGGAGATTTTTAAATATTCCCCAACTGCTCTGGTAAGTACTGCGTTTATTGTACAATATGCAGCCTGAAAAGGAAAAATAAGTCCTGGGTGCTTGGGTTGTAGAGACATTTCCCAAATATTCAAGGTGTTCTGGGAAAAAAAAAAAAGGTTCTTGGCCAAGCGCAGTGGTTCATGCCTGTAATCCCAGCACTTTGGGAGGCTGAGGCAGGCGAATCACCTGAGGTCGGGAGTTTGAGACCAGCCTGACCAACATGGAGAAATCCCATCTCTACTAAAAATACAAAACTAGCTGGGCGTGGTGGCACATGCCTGTAATCCCAGCTACTTGGGAGGCTGAGGCAGGAGAATCGCTTGAACCCGGAGGGCGGAGGCTGCGGTGAGCCGAGATCACACCATTACACTCCAGCCTGGGCAACAAGAGTGAAACTCCATCTCAAAAAAAAAAAAAAAAAAAAATGTCTCTCACTGATCCAATAAGTCAGTAAGTTTTGGAAATGATGGAAACTATACCCATCACTAGTTTAGATTTTCATTGTGTATACAGTAAAGGTCAGAGAATTCTGGCAGTAAAGAAACTGTTTAACTTTGTGAAATCTCAAGCATCTCAAAGTAGACACACTTTGGAAAATGTTATAGTAGAGAGTCAAAACATTTTAGCATTTCAAATGTGCCAATAAAGCAAATAGCATCTGATAAAGACGTCTTTGATCAAGTACATAAGCAAAAACTAAGAATATATCTTCAGATATGGGTTGAATGACTTATTATCTAAGAGGTCCAAATAGGTTATAAAAGGAGACCACAGCCAGACGTTTATATTTGCTCCAAAAGAGTGAAGAAAACACTTTCTGAAGAATCAGAACCATTGCTTCCACAATCTGTTTGTGTCAAAATTACCCAGGGTGAACATTTCCCATGCTCTCCTAAAAATTTTCCTGTTCCTGGTCTTGCATTTATACTATATGACAATTAGCTTATGTGTCTTCTTTTTCCTCTCTACCTAGTGATCCTTGACTAAAGGCCATAACTTATGTATTTTTGTGCACCTAGCACAGTGCCTCATAAACACTAGGCATTAATAAATACTCATTGTAGGCCGGGCACGGTGGCTCACGCCTGTGATCCCAGCACTTTGGGAGGTTGAGGTGGGCAGATCACGAGGTCAGGAGATCGAGACCATCCTGGCCAACATGGTGAAACCCCGTCTCTATTAAAAATACAAAAATTAGCTGGGCTTGGTGGCGCATGCCCGTAATCCCAGCTACTTGAGAGGCTGAGGCAGGAGAATCGCTTGAACTAGGGAGTCGGAGGTTGCAGTGAGCCGAAATCGCACCACTGCACTCCAGCCTGGCAACGGAGTCAGACTCTGCCTCAAAGAAAAATAAATAAATAAATAAAAATAAAGAAATAAGTACTCATTGGGGATTTGAGGATAGGTAGAAATTCCTAGGTAAAGAAACTAGAATGTGCACAGTCCTTGTGGGAGATGGAGTATAGCATGTTCAAAGAACTGAGAGACAAGATCAGGCTTCACTCCAGGCCTACAAACTCCAAATATCTGTGTGTGGTGGCTCAGGAGCAGCATTTTTCACAAATTTTGCAACTGATTCTAATAAAGTTGGAAAACCATTAGTCTAGACAATAGCACAGTACCATTTAGCTGGAAAGTAGCTAAGAAGGCTGCCAAAGCTACTTGCAAACAACTGAAAGTTGAAAATGGTGGTTGTTGAGGTTAGCCTAAAAATGTTGTTTTCATGCATGATGTAGCTGTTAAATAGTACAGTGTTTACAATAATATGCTAATGATGATGAGTGGGAAGGCACAAAAAGGTCATGAGCCCACACACACTCAATTAGAGTGGATACACCTAGATACTCTAATCCACAAGCATTGATTTTGGTCAAACACAGTCAGTTGGCATTTGGTAATTTGTAAATAGCGGCAGAATTAGAGAGTTGGAATTTTTAAAAACATCATCCTGATTATTTGGTAACTGTAAGATTAATGCAGATTATGAAATAACTCATGGAAGAGAGTAGAAATCCAAATTGGTTATTTTAACTTTATGCCTATTTTCTTCATATCTTTCCCCTCAACAACACACACGCACACACACACACACACACACCAATTCCTATGTAAAAGTTTTAGGGTGATTGAAAAATAACTTTTCTGGTTAGGAAAACTTGAAGTTGCTTACCTCTGGGATAAGGTTTTGTATATTGTCTTATGGAAACTTGAATAATGACTAGCTTTGCAAAGGGACGCATTTGAGATGTTTGGTCAGAGAAGAAAAAATTGCTCTGTAACACAGAGCAATTTTATTATGTTTTTCCATGTTCCAAAACACTAGAGTGATTCCAACCCTGCACTTTGAAACTTGAAGATACTTTAAAGTTATTATCTGGGTTCTTTTAATTTTATACTAGTTGGGTCAAGTATGCTATCTCAATGTGTCATTCAGCCCTTCTTGAAAGCATTGTAGCAATGGGTTTTAGCATCATAGCGATATCTGTAGGAAAACAGCCCATTGCATGGCAAGAGTGATGCCATCTTAAAGCAAACCTGCCATGATGACCAATGTTTGACTCCTCCATACCAAGGTGTTCTGCAGCAGGGATCTCCAACCCTGTCTACCAGTCCATGGCCTGTTAGGAACTGGACTGCACAGCAGGAGATGAGTGGCAGGCAACAGAGCAAAGCTTCATCTGTATTTACAGCTGCTCCCCATCACTCACATTACCACCTGAGCTCCACCTCCTGTCAGATCAGTGGTGGCATTAGATTCTCATAGGAGCATGAACCCTATTGTGAACTGCGCATGCGAGGGATGTAGGTTGCACACTCCCTGTGAGAATCTAATGCCTGATGATCTGTCACTGTCTCCCATCACCCCCAGATGGGACCGTCTAGTTGCAGGAAAACAAGCTCAGGGCTCCTACTGATTCTACATTATGGTGAGTTGTATAATGATTTCATTATATATTACAATGTAATAATAATAGAAATAAAGTGCACAATAAATGTAATGCACTTGAATCATCCTGAAACTGTCCCTCCCCAGTCCATGGAAAAATTGTCTTCCCTGGTGCCATAAAGGTTGACCGCTGTTCTGCAGCAAGGTCTTTAAACAATGCCTATAACATAGATAATCCCTCAGAAAGATGCTTATCTAATGTTCCCAGTGGTCATGACTTTTGGCAAGAAAGTCTGAGATGTGACCAGCTGCACATGACTTTACCTAAAAGCTTGCTATGTAAAGGACACTTTCTGGAGAGTGGGTGCAGGGATCCACTGTCTCACTGCTGCCCAAGACAGCACTACTGTTTGTAAGCCCCTATTAAATATTTCTTTCTGAGAAAGTGGATTTGTCAGCTTCTGCTTTTGGCCTTCAGCTCCCTTGGTCTTTGTGAGGAGGTTTGTATATACCTGCTCACTGCAGAAAAATATTCTACTCCAGTTTGGGATATTTTTGGGTTTACAGATAATCTGGTTACTGGAGGTTGAACCCAGTTCTGACACCAACGCTTATGATCTTTCACTCTACCACACAGTCTTCCGGAAACAAATAAGATGTGGTCTCTGCCCTTGATAGATTCTCCAACTAGCATGGGAGATGGATTATAAACAAATGACTTGCTGCAGAAAATTTAATGGAAAACTAAGGAAGGTGATGCTGACTCTACCTGGGCGTACCAGGGAAAGTATCACACAGGAGTGGGTATTTGTAGTGAGTGTTTCCACCAGGAAAGATAAGCAGAGGGACTTTCCTATGTACAGTAACATGCTTTCACTCATAGTTTAAAAAATTAACATTCTCACCCTTTTTTCACAGCCATCGTTGGTGTTACCAATCTCCCATGCTCTCCTAAAAAATTTTCCTGTTCCTGTTTTTGCACTTCTCCTATATAATTAATTTACGTGTCTTCTGTTTTCTCTATACTTAGAGCTCCTTGACCAAAGGGCCATGACTTATTTACCTTTGTGCACCTAGCACAGTGCCTTACAAAGACTAGGTGTTAATATACAGTCATTGGGCACTTGAGGATAGGTAAAGATTTCTAGGTAAAGAAACTAGGATGTGCACAGGCCTTGTGGGAGATGGAGCATAGCATGTTCAAAGGCCTGAAAGACAAGATCAGAATGACTAGCTATTAGGCAGTAGTGGTGGTGGTAGTAATAGAGGCAGAGTGTTCAGGAAGGTGATGTTGTAGGGTAGAGTAATCTGAGATAAAACTGGGACTGGTTGGAGTTAGATCATTAGGATCTTAGAGAACATGTTAAAGATTTTGGTCTTCATCCTAAGAGCAGTAGGAAGCCATGGAACAGAGGGTCAATGGGTAACAGACTGAAAAGTTCACCTGAGCTGTATTGAGGGGAAAGGGCTGGGGAAAAATACAGCAAGGGAAAATGTAGAAGGCTATCACAGTAATCCAAATATTAGATGTGGCTTTTAGTGAAGGTTGGAGGAAGTGCCCCTTTTTCAGGAATACTATACAGAAAAGTCATATATTTGAGCATAACTACTTGCCTAATCCTTTTAGGATTTTCTTTTCCAATTTTTGCTCTTTATTGCTGACAGGCTCTTTGACAGTGGGTGGCTCTCCAGAAGCAACAGGTTCTCTTCCAGCCTCTTCAGTTGTTTCCTCACAGTCCCCATCCTCGTTGTCAGGTGATTCCGCATTCTCAGGCTGCTCACTAGCCCTGGCAGTGAGACCCATAAGTTTCCCTGCTGTGCTGGCAGCAGACCCATAAGTGTTAATGATGTCTTCCAGCTGTCGATTCAGCTCTTCAGAGATATCGGGGTGCACATCTGCCTCTTTCTCCGGTGGCTGGACTGGGGTTGAAGAATCCTGACCATCTTCCTTCTCCAGGCCATTGTGACGGGGTAATGATGAACTGTCCCCTGGAGGTGTTGACTGTTGTTCCGCTGAGAGCTGTTCAGCGTGATTAGCCTCCATCTTGGGACTGGTATCTAGTGGTAAGCACATTAGGCTTTACATAGCTAACCTAGATGCCACATATCAATGCTTCATTTCAATGGTAAGGATATCCCCCAAGTGAATGCCAACTAATTATGGTCTCTAACATAGAGTGAATGTCCTTTCACAAACCATTGATGTTACAATTATTAAAGTAGGAACACTGAAAAGTTGTTTTTCCAAATCAAGTCACACTACTGGCATATTTTTGGTTTTGCTCTTCACTTTCAAGAGTATTCCTTATTATTCACATTAAGAAAGTAATTCATGCTATTGTTTCTTTGTGGCCTTATTTGTCATTTTGCTTACACTAGTCAGTTTGTGTTATCATTTTCCTGTATAGTTCTATCTAGATTAACAATCACTGGAGGTACATGACTGTGTGTATTTAAAATGTTTAAATCTAAAATGGCATTAGTTTTCTTTCAAAGTTAAAATATTTAATAGAAGAGCCATCGAATTTATTTAAATGACTCATAACAATAACATCTCTAAGCTCTATTTGATCCATAAATTAGTATTTTGCTTAGTATGAATATTTTGATGTAAATGCATTATTACACTGGATACAGGAGACATTTCTCACTTTTCTGGCATTTTCTTTTTCAGATAAGCAACACGAATGCTTTTTCTGAGGCTCAAACTGGCATCATTTTTCGATTAAGACAGGGAATGAGGAAAGGTATAAATAAATAAACCAAGTAGTATAGAAACACAGGCCGGGTGCGGTGGCTCATATCTGTTATCCCAGCACTTTAGGAGGCCGAGGCGGGTGAATCACTTGAGGCCAAGAGACCAGCCTGGCCAACATGGTGAAACCCCGTCTCTACTAAAAATACAAAAATTAGCCGGATATGGTGGCGGGCACCCGTAGTCCCAGCTACTTGGGAGGCTGAGGTATCAGAATTGCTTGAACCGGGAGGCGGAGGTTGTAGTGAGCCAAGATTGCGCCACTAAACTCCAGCCTGAGCGACAGAGCAAGACTTTGTCTCAAAAACAAAACAAAAGCATGATGCTGCTTATAACAACAATTCCTTAAGTTTCTATAATACTCTTTTATTCCAATATATAAACCAACATTTTAAAAGAGAAAAACAGATTACAACTTTCTCTTCTAAGTCAGGAAGCTCTAGAAAAACAATAATTTTTAAGAAGTAGCAATGTTTCATAAACGAGGAGGAGACCAACTCGAGAAATAATTCAGCAATAATAAGGGCCCTTGGGAAAGGGTGAGAGATGGAACTGAGTCAGAGATTCCAGTGTTTCTGACTATTACCACTTCTAGGGTTGCAATAGATTTGGCTTAGGCCTTTAAGTTATGGTGCATTTTATTTTTAAATAATATTTAACAGTGATGCTGCTAAACAGCAGCATAAAAATAAGGCAAGATCCTCATAATTCGCAGGTTTTGCTGTTGTGGTAACATGAAAGTGAAAACAAAAGCATACTGTTCTACAACTGCATAGCTTCCTTTTCCTGTTCTTAGGGCAGCAGATGTCAATCAAATGCTCGGACACCAACAAGAACAGAAAATTCAACACACAGACATTGCCACTGATGTGATGCTCACTAAACACTCGTAACTTAGAGGAAGTACTTTTTTTCTTTCACTGATTTGAATTCACCAACTTAATTATCAAATAATGTAGCAAACAATTTCATTCTCTTCATCACTGGGATTTCTTTATCCTGACCTCTACTTGTTGATTGCACTCATCTATATATAACTTAGGCCTCCCCTAAACATGGAGAAAGACACACGGCACCTGCTGTCCAGCCAAAAGTTATTTTAAGCTATTCTAAAATGAGTCATGCCATTTAGCACTTCATCCTTAAAAATCCAGAAAATCATTTTTCAATCAAATTGAAAACAGTAAACATTTGCTGGCTTAAATCCATACGTAGGTTTTAAAGTTGGGGAGACTATCTTAGGATGAAATAAAATCTCAAGTAAAATGAACTTCAAAATAATTAATTTAAAATAAGCTGTCCATAGGAGTTTTACTTTGGTTAGTCTAAATGCAAGTGGCTGTTTGTATTCAATTTGTTCTTTATCAGATGCCACAATCATTGATTTTTTAAATTATTAATTCCATGGCTATTCTTTAAACTCCTGTTCCACATTTACTTTAAAACAGAACAGTCATTATAAAGCCTAGGACAACTCAATTCCTAAAAGTAGTCTCAAGACAAGTTAACAAGAGGGAAAAAAACAAAGTCAAAGAACTTCGTTACTTTTCAATCATCCATTTTATATTATGTGGCAAAGAAATTATTTCTAACTTTTATCTTATATAAACTTTATTGCCTTATTTTCCCCTCCCCAGGGAGAGAACTTTTCACTTGTGTTGGCTATTCCAGATGACTATCACAGACACATCCCTCCCTAAGCAACATATTTATTTATAAATACAACAATGAAAAGTTCTCCAACAGTTCACTGGCAATCTCAAAGTTGCAAGTTTCAAACACCACAAACCGCACCCTACATCTTCTCACGGGGCTTGGGGGAGGGTTTATCATACTTACCAGAAGGCAAGAAGCTAAGCAAGAAGAGAGAGGAGAGGAAAGAGGCAGGAAAAAGCAAGTCAGAGCTGCAGCAACAGCAGGGGAGGGCGGGCTGGCTGTGTTCTTACAAGGGAGAGAGAAACCCAATACACACACACACACACATACACGCGCGCGCACACACACACACACGCCACAGGCACTGCTGGAGGCAGCAGTCTGGAGGAGGTGGGGGTAGGGAAAGGAACATCGTATGACACAGCGAGGGGAAAATACATCCAAGCTTCCCTAGCTGTTGCCACGGGAAATATCTTAGCAGAGAGAAGCAGCTGGAAGATCTCATCGGACTCTCCATGTTTTGTTTGTCCTTTCGGAAATTTACACTCTGACTATATCATCCCCTTTGCAAATGCAGTCTTTCACCATTGTTATCCTTTTGGGTAGAGATCAGTTTTTCTTACTTCTTGGTTTATCTCCAGTGTGGTGGATGATTCATCTTCTTTTTCTTCTTCTTCTGCTAGCTTAATTGGTGTCAGGTTTGTTATAGGAATCATGGAAAAAGAAAAACAATGGCATAAGAACAGGGAGGTGGTGGAACTATTTTAATTCTGATGTCATTGGTTTGTTTGCAGAGTTTGAAATAAACATGTAGATGGTGATTTTGGAGCTGAACTGAGTATAATCTTCATGCACATGGTAATTGGTGTGACCTTGGAGCACAGTCTTTCCCAGGTAACTGTTCCCACCTCAGACAAACCCTCAGGGAAGCAGTCTGCTTTTTCTTCCTTAGCTGGTGGCTTTCCCACACTTTGTAAATCCTCAACATGCTCCTGGATCCTCCTCAGAAAAATAAACTCCTTCTGATTCACCATCAAATGCCTCTCTATTAATTTACGTCCATTCCCTTTTTATTTTTCTTTCTGGAGCTTGTGTTCCTATACTTTCAAAGCAGATTCCTCCATCAGTCTCTGCTCTGGGGACAGGCTGGGCATAGTGGCATCCCTTGTGGTAGGCAGAATGATGCCACCCAAAACATCTCCACGTCCTACTCCTTGGAACCTGTGAATATGTTACTTTACATGACAAGAGACTTTGCAGATGTGATTAAGAATCCTGAGGTAGGGAGATTATCTTGAACTATCTGGGTGGGCTAAATGTGATCATAAGGGTATTTATTTATTTATTTTTTGAGATGGAGTCTCGCTCTGCCACTCAGGCTGGAGTGCAGTGGTGCAATCTCAGCTCACTGCAATCTCCACCTCCTGGGTTCAAGTGATTCTCCTGCCTCAGCCTCCTGAGTAGCTGGGATTACAGGTGCCCGCCACCACACCCAGCTAATTTTTTGTATTTTTAGTAGAGATGGGGGTTTTGCTGTGTTGGTTAGGCTGGTCTCAAACTCCTGACCTCATGATCCGCCTGCCTCGGCCTCCCAAAGTGCTGGGATTATGAGCGTGAGCCATTGCACTCAGTCTCATAAGGGTCTTTATAAATGAGGGAGGAAGGCAGTAGGATTGGAGGCAGAAAAGGAGATTTGATGACCTCAGCATAGGTCAGGAAGCTTCTAGAAGCTGGGAAAGGCAAGGAAGCAGATTCTACTCTAGAGCCTCCAGAGGGATGCAATCCTGTGACATTGATTTTAGCCCAAAGAAATTCATTTTGGATTTCTGACCTCCAGAAATATAAAATAGCAAACTTATGTTGTTTTTAAGCTGCTAAATTTGTGATAAGATGTTATAGCAACAAAAGGAAATGAAAACATCCCAACCCCAATTTTGCCCTACTTATTCTCTGAGTTTAGGGGAGGCCTAAGTTATATATAGATGAGTGCACCCAACAAGTAGAAGTCAGGATAAAGAAATTCCAGTGTTGAAGACAACTAAGCTGTTCACTATATTATTTGATAATTAAGTTGGTGAATTAAAATTGATGAATGAGTAAAGTACTTTCTTCTAAATTAATGAATACTTGGTGAGTGTCACAAACTGGGTGGCACTCCATCCTGGATTGCAGCAAACTGACCTGATCAGATCTCTTAGTAAATATAAGCAAGTCAGTGTTTTTCAAATTTAAATAATGTATAGATTCACTTAACAGAATAACTTAAATAATGTGGAAATTATTTGAAGGATTATATTATTTGAACTTATATGTACTAAAATGAAAATGGGATAAACTCCTTATGCTTACAGTAGTTACATGAATTTTAAAATGTATATCTTTTCAAGCCTACAAAATCAATAAATGTGACTCAAATTAATAACACTACTTTTATGTGACAGATATTGTTTTGCTGAACTTAAATTGGTACTTGCAACATGAATATTATATTGACTGCTGGGTTTTTTGAGTTTCTGGTACTCTTCTACCATGTGGTTTGGGATTTCCTCAACACTTGATTCATTCAAATTATTACATAGTTTTTATTCATATGGCCTGCTATGATCTCATGGGGCTCATTTGATACGGCTGCATCATTTATTGCTTGCTGTGGTCTGAATGTTTGTGTCCCTCCAAAAATTCACGTGTTGAAATCATAAACCCCAAGTGATGGTATGAGGAGGTAGGGCCTTTGGGAAGTGATTAGATTATGAGGGTAGAGCTTTTATGAATGTGATTAGTGTTCTTATAAAAGAGGTCTGAGAAACTCCTTACCCCTCTGCCATGTGAGGCTTCAGTGAGAAGATGGCCTTGTACGAGGAAGTCACCAGACACAGAATTCGCCTGCACCTTGATCTTAGACTTTCCAGCCTACAGAACTATGAGAAATAAATTTCCATTGTTGGCCTGGCAGGGTGGCTCACGGCTGTAATCCCAGCAGGATGGGAGGCCAAGGCAGGTGGATCACTTGAGGTCAGGAGTTCAAGACCAGCCTGGCCATCATGGCGAAACCCCGTCTCTACTAAAAACACAAAAATTAGCTGGGTGTGGTGGCACATGCTTGTAATCCCAGCTACTCAGGAGGCCGGGGCAGGAGAATCATTTGAACCCAGGAGA